TATGGTATTTGGATTTCTACAAAAAAAGAAAAAGGCCATCTATCACCCACCACTTCTTGGAGTCATTGATTTTGTTCTGATTAGATAACCTTGATTTGAACAAAATGGAAGTCCACTCATTATACATGTTTAAAAAATTGAGAGGGTAAAATGTTGTCATCATTCTTATGTTTGTAAGTTTAAATAATCTTCTATAACAAAAATGGTGTCATCATTCTTATGCTTGTGAGTTTAAATAATTTTCTATAATAAATTATGTCATTAATAAATCTTGTTCTTATTTGCGTAATATTTTATTAGGATGCCATGTTTGGTACGTAAATATGGGGTGCAATATGATTATTTTATTGTGGGATCAATAGTGGATATACATTTAAGATTTTTATTCAATGAGGTCATGTAAATAAATAAATAAATATATATATATATATATATTAACGTGATGCAATTTTCTCACTAATTTCACAAAACCTAAACCCTATTTAGGGAAATTATAGCCCTGATTCTATGATATACAATTGTGAAAGTTGGGTCTAATGTAATAAGTTTTAATTTATTAAAAGAATTATTAGCAAATAAAAAGTTTGCGTGGGATAGAGTGGAACAAATAGAGGCATGGTTGCATAAAACAAACTAATGGATATAGATAAACAACTTGAATATTAAAAATTATAATATTATTTTTTTAAAATTGATTGATGGGAGCAACTAATGTCATTATGTATAAAGTGACACGGCCAAACGTGACATAAAATTACTTCGTATTTGATTCAACTTTTATAACTCAGGATAACTTATAATTTATTCTAATAAGGGAGATGAGAGGGCTTATATCAGGATAACTCTTTTGACACAAAATGACTATAATCTTCATAGTATTGTTATTTTGCCGAATTCTATCCACAAATCAAATAAGCCTTAGGGATAAATATTCCATTTCAACTGGCCTCATTCCTTCCACCTACTGGTGAATTCTCATAAAGAACTAGAGCTGAATAACAGAGGATTTATTTCCAAAATGAGATCCATCATTTTGCTGACAGAAGGAGCCATTCAAAAAAAAAAAAAAGAAAAAAAAAAAACTATTTCATGGTACACCTAGATTTTACTTTTGACAATGAACATAAGTACTCACTTAGAATATTTTTATTTTTGATAACGAGATATAATCATAAATAGAATTCTTTGACTTATTCTAAGAGTGCAAACTCGAGATACATGTGACCACTCGCTAAGTTTCACATATTGGGCGAAATAGAACTTCAAAACTTGAGCCCAATACCTCTTGTATGACTTACCCTGGGCCTCATTTCTTCAACCTACTGGTAAATGATCAAAAAGAGCTAAATTAAATTGAATAATAAATTGGGTTTATTTCCAAAAGTGGGGTTCCATTTTTGCTGACAGAAGGAACCATAACAAAGACACCATTTCATGGGACACCTAAGACTTTTAATCTTGATTTTGACAATGAAGAAGATAAGAGTACCCACTAAAAATAAATTTGAGAGAGAGATGACAACAAAATGACTTTAGTTCAAGCCCTAATGATCACCAATTTGGGACCCAAAAATGGGCTTGCTAGTGGAAGAAACACTAGGGTTTAGTGGAATGTTTTAACAAGTTGTAGTTTGTTAAGAATTCAATTTTCTGCATATGATGAGGGTTTTATGGGACCAGAAACAGCTTGGAGCAACAGTACCGCCGTAAGATGAATTATACTAATCTGCTAAAACATATAAAATGTTTTTGATAATCAATTGTTCAATGCCTAAACAACCATTATTAAAGATTTGGAGTGAGCTAAGATATAGTAAAACCAGTCAAATGTAAATTCAAACTTGTAAAATGTAAAAGCTCAGATCAATTGTGCTTTTTCTTGGTTCAAACAGCCTTCAACTAGGCAGCCGCAGCCGGTGCAAGCGTGGGCGGCCGGGCACACTGTACTAGGGCAAAAAAACATTTTCCAACTCCTTTCTTGAACCCTCTCCTACAGAGTGAGCTAAGATATAGTAAGACCAGTCAAATGTAAATTCAAACTTGTAAAATGTAAAAGCTCAGATCAATTGTGCTTTTTCTTGGTTCAAACAGCCTTCAACTAGGCAGCCGCAGCCGGTGCAAGCGTGGGCGGCCGGGCACACTGTACTAGGGCAAAAAAACACTTGTTTGGTGTTTTTGTTTTTGTTTTTTTGTCATATGTAAAAATTGGTTGTGAACTGTTTTTGAAAATGTTTTTTGAATTTTTTTTTTTTTAAAAAAAAAAACCATTTGCAAATATCAAAATTTTATTTTCAATTTTCAATTTTTTTATTTTTTTGCATAAATTACAGGTGATTGATGTTGTTAAAATTTTTGTTGTTGTTATTGTTTTCTTCTTTTTTAATAAAAAAAACAAAAATGATAACAAACAATGTCCAAAGAAGAACTACAAAATAAATAAATAAATAAATAAATAAAAGTGAACATATTCCCAAAGAGAAAAGCTCCATGTGCACAAGATTCATATTGATCAATACATGATTAGATCCTACAACAATGATTGGAAAATATATATATATATATATACACACACATCACATTACATGTGGATCCCTCCTTATCACATCACTAGAACTTTTTTTAGAGTTTTAAAATTAAAACTTTCAATCTTTATTCTTCGATCCTATCCGAGTTGATAGCTTATAAGTAAGAACTAAAACATTGAAAAGAAAAAAGGGATGTTACAAATCAGTGGTATCTTGCTAAAATATTTACAGTTTTATGAAAAAGTTTATAACTTATAATTATCAAAGTTTGTAAAGTTTATTACTAATCTGAAATATATATATATATATATATATTTTAAAACTTACACTGAAATGTTATTTTGCCCAAAAAAAAAAAAAAAAGGTTGGAGGAAATTTTTTTTTTTTTTTTACAAATACATAATCAGATACAAAAATAAAATAAAATAAAATAAAATTAAAATTAAAATTAATGAATGAATCATATTTTTGTAAGATTTTTTGATAGGATCCATGTGTAAAAAAATCTCTCCACCATTAATATATTTTTTGTTTTTGATTATGTGTTTAATTTATATTCCTATTAGAAGCTGCACTTGAAGAAGGTTCATATAGTCACATATAGGATGGTAATTTGAATCCGGTCCGCTGGAAACCCAACCCCCCGTCCCCGATTAGAATGGTTTTTTCTCGAAAAATACTCTTGACGGGCCGAGGATGATATTCGAAAATGCATCCTTGATCAGTTTCGGGCCGGAGACAAGGATAGCTTTCACAACCCCGTCCCCAGTCCCGTTTCCCCCGAAGTAAAATTACTTTTTTACCCCTCTATCCATTCATATCTCTCTCTCTCTCTCTCTCTCTCACATTCGAAACCCTAACCTCAAACCCATGTCGATCAAAGCAGAGAAGGAGCAAACCATGGAGATGAAGTCCCACAACCCAACCAACGAGGGTGCCACCAAAGACGACGTCGTCTCACTGCCTCCGCCATTCGACGACGAGAGTCGATCGCAACTCCTCTCCTCTCCCTCTTTCATCCACTGCTCTACCACCACCTCTGCCATTCCACCACTGCCTCCGCCATTTTGACGACGAGAGTCGATCGCAACTCCTCTATCTTTCCTCTCTCACCACTGCTCTACCACCGTCTCTTCCATTTCACTTCCGCCTCCGCCATTCAACAATGAAAGTTGAGCTCAAATCTGGAAGATTTGATTGAGGCGGTCGGAGGTCATAGATCTATCTCTCTCTTTCTCTTTCTCGCCATTTCTACTCTCTCTCTTTTTCTCTCTCTTTATTTTTTAAATATGTTGTGTTGTTGTTGTTGAATATTAAATCTGTTGTTGTTAAATTTGTTGAATATTAAATCTGTTGTTGAATATCAGATCTTGAGCTGATTTTTTTTTTTTTTTTTTACTGGAAAATTTTTGGGGTCGAGAAAACCAGATCCCCCCTGGGGGTGGGGGCGTGGGCGAGGACGAGGGTAGAGATAGGTTTCTCGTCGAGGATCAAGACCAAGAACGGAAGAATTTTCACCGTCGAGGATCGTAGACGAAAAATGTGATCGCCGACTCTATCCCAGCCCGTTGCCATTCCTAGTAATATAGTTACCTCTCGGATAAATATATATATGTAGGCACATGCAAAAGTTAGTAATTTCTAAAAACTAAAGCATAGAAAAGAGGAAACTTCAATACCCTAAATTGGCGGCAACTGCCCTAGTTTGCACTGACACAAACTTAGATTTAGCCATAAGAGCTTCCAAAATGATTAACCACACTCCCCACATTCTAACAATTTATACTTGTTATACTATACAATTGATTCAATGAACGGAGTAGTCGCCTAATTTTTTTTTAAGACTTCAGATTAAATATTAAAATGAGATATTATTTAGTTATATTTTAGAAAAGTTTAAGCTTTCGACAATAAAAACTTTATAAATTTTTTTGTGGGCCTTAAGTGACAACCTAACTGGTTTAATAGTTGAATCACGTTTAAATGAATACGATTTTTATTAAAACGAAATTAAAAAAGAGTAACATGTATGCATTCTTATTCTTATTATTAGAGAGACTATTTCTGTGACTTGAATCTACGTTGTTAAAGAAACATAAACAAGTCTAATTCTCGAAATTAGTTTTGGTACAATTTGTATTAAAACTTATAAGAAAAATTGAATTAAATAAATTTAAAAAACTTGAACATTTAAATTGGAGAATATTTTTTAATTATGAGTTAAAATTATTGATAACCTACAACAAAAACAGGGTCTATACTATTACAGTTCAAAGCCATGTATAGGAGAAGCATCCCAATCTCCATAAACAATTTGACAATTCATTTCTCCAAACATTCCTGTAAAACGGAACAAAACCCAAGAAAAGAAAAGAAAGGACAAATATAAAAACAAAAACAGCACTATTACTACTACACACATTCTCTTTATCTTTTCTGTGTCTTCCTTTAATTTAACTCTGCTTTAACTTTGATTGGGAAGACCAAATTGCAAAGAAAAAAAATATATACAGAGCTAAAGAGGCTCTATAGAGATCTCACACCCTTCACTTTGCTGACTAAATCAGCTGACTGGGGGTCGTTTTGATCTCAATTTTAAAGCAAAACGACATCCCCTTTTGCCCTATCATGTTGGGCCGGCCTTGGTTTTTGAGTTAAAGAAAAGGGCTTCACAGAGCGAGCGAGAGAGAGACAGAGAGAGAGGGTTTTCTTGAAACTTTCTTGAAACACAGCCCAGTTTTGAACAGAATAAAGTGCAGAAGACTCTCTCTCTCTCTCCCTCCTCTTTCTACCCTTTCTCTCTCTCTATGTTTGCTGCCTTGTCTTGTTCATAAGATTCAAGGACTAATCACACTTACCCACATTAAAGTGTTGTCTCTCTCTAGTCATTGGGGCTGTAATTTTACTGGGTTTTGGGCCATTGTCTCTCTTATACACATATACGCGCACACGTATATATCAGCTACAAGAGTGCCCACAATAGAAAAAGAAAGAAAGAGCCTTGTTTGACTAATCAGAATGCTGAGAAACTGATTTTCTTGCAATTTGAGGAAAGTAGAGGAATGCCTAAGTATAATTTTAAGTCTTTCTTTGTCAAACTATTGAGCTCCAATCACATCAATTTGTGAATCAGAGGCTGGGAAAAAATTCCTGTAATGGGGTTGATTTTATGTTTTTGCTGATTCTAAGCAAAATCCAGAAAACTGTGGGAATAGGAGGAGAGAGGGATATAGAAGGAGAGCTCTGTATGAAGAGGGAGTGAAACAATGAGAGATGAGAATACAAAGAAAAGCAAGGTTTTTCCCTCTATGCCCCCCCTCATTTTCCTGGAAAATAACATGATGATTCTCTCTCTCTCTCTCTCTCTCTCTCTCTCTCTCTCTCTCTTTATGCACTTCTGAAATGTTTTATCTTCTGTTTGGTAAAGCTCTCGTGGTCAAAGAAACTGATTAGGAAATGGTTCAACATCAAGAGCAAAACTGAGGAGTTTCAGGCAGAACATGAAGTTGTTTATGGGGGTGAGTACATTTTGTTTCTGTCTAGGTTTCTTGAAATTGTTTCCTTTTATTCAATTTAGGGTTCTGAAATTCTTAATCTTTTGGCCTGGTCCTCCATTGTCGAAACTGCTAATCTCATTTCTTACCCTCAGTTTGTCTCTACTCAGTGGAGGTTCTTGTCCTTTAATGTCCCAGAAAGTAAAGAAAATCTTTAGTTTCAAGTTTTCTTGGCAGCCAAACAAATTAGTGAATATACCTGTGTCCTTATCTATATTTTCTAGAATACTATTTGGATCATACTTGCTCTGCCCCTTATTTTTTCTTCTTCTTTAAATTTAAAAAGCTTGTTAATTATTTGTGTTCTATTATAAGATTTGAATCGATGCATAAACACTGATTTGTCTTTCAGGTGGTGATGTGGAATGGAGAAATAGCTTCTCAGAGAGGGAACCATGTACAATTAAGAAAAGTAGAACAGGTTCTCTCTCTATTTATATAGCATACATGTGTATACATATCTGCTATTCCTTTGCAAACCTCCCAAAATTTGACAATTATGTTGTTTAGGGGAAATTGGGATTTGATTTTCCATTTTATGTTATTATTCCTAATCTCGTTCGCCCAATTGGATGCACAGAAAAATCAAGGAAGAGCACAGAACGAATTGGGCGAACAGAAAAATCAAGGAAGAGCACAGAACGTGTCCGGCGAGGGAGAGTTGATCTTGATCATCCTCAAATTATAAATGTGCAGAACTATAGGTTTGTCTCTTATTATTCTTTTAAATCTTTTCCTTTTAAATGATATATATGGAGCTTTGTTGTAATCTTATTTTCCCACTTGGGGCAGCATGTTTGTGGCAACATGGAACGTGGGTGGAAAATCGCCAACGAGTAATTTGAATCTTGATGATTTTTTGCATTCTTCGCCTCCCGCAGACATTTATGTTCTTGGGTAATGAATTGTTAGTTTTCTTTTTTTCTTTTTTTTCTTTTTTTTCATTTCAAAAATTTAACCAAAGTCTGATACTAATTGGTTACTAATCGAAAACATGTGCTTTTGTTTTAATTATGTAGATTTCAAGAAATAGTTCCTTTGAATGCGGGGAACATTCTAGGCGCTGAAGACAATGGCCCTGCAAAAAAATGGTTAGCTTTAATCCGAAAAACACTAAACAATCTTCCCGGAAGTAGTGGAGGAGGTGGGTACTATACACCTTCTCCAATCCCCAATCCAATTGTAGAATCGGATGCAGATTTCGAGGGATCAACCAGACAAAAAGCGTCATTTTTCCACCGTCGATCATTCCAAACACCCTCCAGCTGGAGGGCTGAAAATGATCCGTCAGTGTCACAGCCTCGCCTTGATCGGCGATACAGTGTTTGTGATCGGGTGATCTTTGGTCATAGGCCAAGTGACTACGACACTAGTTTCAGATGGGGTCATAGGCCAAGTGATGCTTCGTGGAGTCACAGACCGAGCGACTCTTCATGGGGTCATAGACCAAGTGACTATTCCGGGGGTCACAGACCGAGCGATTATTCTGGGGGTCACAGACCGAGCGACTATTCATGGGGTCAGAGGCCAAGTGATTTTTCAAGATGGGGTTCATCGGATGATGATTATGGGACTGGGGATTCACCTAGCACTGTGTTCTCACCGTTATCTAATGCTGGATCGGCACCAATGGAAGATGGGTATAGAATGCCGGGAAATTCAAGGTACTGCTGTGTTGCAAGCAAGCAAATGGTTGGGATTTTTCTCACGATATGGGTTAAGAGCGATCTAAGGGAACACGTTCGCAACATGAAAATATCTTGTGTGGGCCGAGGATTGATGGGCTACCTTAGAAATAAGGTATCATGGTGGATTTGATTATTTTTCCTATAATCAATTTTGGAAATAATAAACCGTGTAAATGAAACAATACCGTTCTTGGTTTTGCAGGGATCTATTTCGGTCAGCATGCTGTTACACCAAACAAGCTTTTGCTTTATCTGTAGTCATTTGACCTCCGGACAGAAGGAGGGGGACGAGCTACGTAGGAACTGTGATGTCATGGAGATTCTAAAGAAGACGAGGTTTCCACGAGTCAACTGCGTGGGTGATGAAAAGTCCCCTGAAACAATCCTTGAGCATGAGTAATACTCATGCCCTGCAACTATTAGTTAACTTGTCATTATTTGTGTCACAAAAGAAAATGAATCATATTTTAACAATCAGGGAAAAAATTAACTATATTTTATGTTTTGATTTGATCTAGTCGAGTTATTTGGCTTGGGGATCTGAATTATCGGATTGCGTTGTCTTACCGGTCTGCTAAGGCACTTGTTGAGATGCAAAATTGGAGGGCATTGTTAGAGAATGACCAGGCATGATACATATTTTCTTTTCTTTTTTTGTCAAAATATGTCACTTCTTGTACTTATTAAGTCGACTTTCAACTGAATCGACAATGCTTTTGTTGGCAGCTGCGGATAGAGCAGAGACGAGGGCGTGTTTTCCGTGGATGGAAGGAAGGGAAGATATATTTCCCACCAACTTACAAGTATTCAAATAATTCAGATAGATATACCGGGGACGATATGCACTCGAAGGAAAAAAGGCGAACACCGGCATGGTAAGAACATCTATCCTACCATAAAGTACAAGGAAATTCGCATATGTATACCTCAAGTTGCAATAATTACTAAAGAATATGCAAAAATGAAATACAGTTATAACTGCCAGCCGGGAAAAAAATTGTCGATAGAAGGAAAAAAACAGAACTAAAGACATCAAATTTTGGAATAAAAAACTTGGGAAGTTATATATGGGTAATTTGGGCATGAAAAATGTGTGACATAACTTCACTAAGTGAGTTGTGTGCGTTATATAATAGAATAGATAATAATAAAAATATATTTTTTGGGGGCAACTTTTTTTATTATTTTTATTTTAACTCTTTCAAGCAAGGCATTGAACTAGCTAATTTTCCTATGTTTAGGTGTGATAGAGTTTTGTGGTATGGAGGTGGTCTTCATCAATTATCCTATGTCCGAGGGGAATCTAGGTTCTCGGATCACAGACCGGTTTATAGCATATTTTGGGCTGAGGTTGAGTCATACCAAGGCCGCTTGAGAAGAAGCATGAGTTGTTCTGGTTCTAGGGTTGAGGTGGAGGAGCTATTACCGTACTCGCACGGATACACTGAACTCTGCTTTTTCTAGAAGATGCAGAGAGCGTTTGGGTATGTTCTCTCTCTCTCTCTCTCTCTCCCTATGTCCTCATCCCGAATTGTAACTATATTCTCTCCTTTGGGCTGAGTGCTCACGACTTCAAAACACGTTATTACTACAAAGGCATGTGAACTCACTTCAATAAGCTCAGAAATTTTTTTTGCTGCCTAACTGATGTGGGACGGGATGTTACATTAATCTGTCAATCGCCTATTTGGTGTTTTCCTTTCCCTTTCTTTGAACCCCTCATTTGCAGTTTTTGGGTGGTGATGTGCACGAAAACTGACTATGCTTGGGGCCCTCGCTCCATGGATTCCTCCATGGATTCTGGAATCCATGGATGTAGAACCTCACAAGGAGCTGTCGTTTTTTTGGTTTTTAGCACATGGGTTGTCCAAATCTACTTCAAAAATCCATATCTAGAACAGAATATGTACTTGGCATATTGCTTGCATTTTCTGTCCCCTCCAGCGTATTCTTGACCATATCTATCATATATTCCTTTTCTTACTGATTTTCTTGGTCCCCTCTTGCAGGCAAGAAATTTCTTCAAAGAAATTCAGCCTTTGGAAAAATGATGGAGACATGTCCATTTCCCACTAACCAAAAAATGTTAGTCATTCTCTTTTTTCCTTTTTTCTTTGTTTTGCTATGACTTTCTTTTCTTTTCATCTGATTTTTGCTCTTTACTTTCTCTTATCAGGTGTGTGTATATTTGCATTTTTGCTCGCTAACTGACTTCACACGACTCTGATTTTGCGTACTTAATTCATCATTATACCATTTCAAGCACGATTCAATTACCCGATCAAGAAATTCCTACTTTACAAGCATTTGCAGTTGTCATACTCATACCTTCAGGTAAATTATTTGTGGCCTCTATTATGAGAATGAAAACATCTTTAACATTGTAGTTATTGAGAACTGTTTTCATTTTGCAGGTTGAATTTAAACCAATCAAGCATTGCCAAGTGGGTAAATCGGGATTATTTTAATTTTTTAGAAATTCTTTATATTTGTTTTGAGAAAGCAAAAGAGATGAGATGGTCAAAATAATCATTTGTGTGTTGCCTTTCTGTTTTGATTGAAAGGAGAAGTAAGAACTGAATGTATACTCATTTACTAGAAAGATACAAAAGATACAAAATTGAAGATATCAAGCCCCTCTTGTTCTATTGTTGCCAATGATTTTAGGCTCGGTCTGTTAAGTATGCACTGTGTGTCATTTTTGTTTCTGATATTTTAAATATGTTACTTTTTGACTTTTTTAATTCATGTTTAAATGGTCTCAGTGTCATTTTCGTTCAAATTTTTATAACAGATGTGGGGTATTTCTATCCAAATTTGGACAAAATTTGACAGAATTTTGTACGAAAATGACAGCTGAGACTATTTAAACCGTCGTAGCAGGAAACTCCTATGGGGCCTAGAACCTGCCCTGCCTCCGCTCTTGCTCTCAACCTTAAACTCTATTATAGGGTTCTCGATCTCCTGCTCTGCTTGTACATTATGATTTTAACCCAAATTGACTAACTTTGGAATAAAATTGACATAATTAAAATGAAACAGAGAATATCTTTGAGAACTGATAAAGAATTTAACCCAAGATTTTACTGAAAAAGGTGGTTTTCTTGATTGTCTCACCATCACAGTTGTTTGCTTTTCTTTTTCCTGTGAGGTGAGAAACAAACTACAAAAAGCAAAAGACAATAACACAGTTCTGGCATGTGTATTTGGGAGCGAAGAAGCCATTATTGAGAAAAACTTCCTTTTGGAGAGATGTGTTATTTCCACATCTACACTCTTACTTTTTATTTATTTTGTACTATTTTATAATCACACTTTGTCTCTTGAGGGCCACAGATAAGTCAAAGACAAGTTTTCACTCCCTCATTACCTGTCACCTCCAGCCAATCCCATCACACTCGGACAATGAAAAATTATTTAATATTTTTAAAGTAATATTTCATTCCATTCAGAGATTATACATGTCATATGTTTAAACCATTAACTACTACTTTATACTATCACCTGAACTTGCTTCAGCAGGCATTGAATAATTTCTCCTCCGGCAACCTTCACCATTCTGACAACTCCTTTCGGCAACTTATAAACATGTTTTATGTCGAGATTTTGTCACGGATTTGAACAGAAAAATAAGAGAACAGTAATATTGAGAGTCGAGTAAAAGTGTAAAGGAATTAATTATCACAATTTATAAAATAAAAAAAAAAATCAATGATCAATGTGGGATTAGATAGAAAGTTAAAGGATGCAAAGGATAATTTAATCATATTATCAAATAAGGATTAGTTAGAGCATCTCTAATGGTTCATTATTTTTTTCATCAAATCTGGATAAAAAAAAAAATCAATTTTCTCAATCTGATATCAGATATTCCAACGGTGCTTTTATCAAAACACCGGGTGTCCAGTTGGACGACCTGCCAGTCGACTGGCAAGAGCATTTTATGAAAAAAAAAATTTCCCCTCCATTTCAGTGTTTTCAAGGTTTTCTTCTGTTTCTTCCAAAGAGAAATTGGAAAACAGTAAGCTTCCCATGAAACCCTATTCTAACACAGGGAGTAGAGAGAGAGAGATCATAATACCTACGAAACCCGATTCTCTCTCTCTCTCTAGAAATCGTCTCACGCAGAGAAGAATTGCAAGAGTATCGCACCATCAAATTAAAAAATGGTCAGTTATCTTCTACTGATTTCACCGACCGATGTTTATATGTCTTTACTGTTAATCGAGTTCATTTCATATTTAAAAGTTCCTAGGTTAACGAGCTGTTCAATTCTTTATCATGATAGATGATTTTATCTCATCTCAATTCTCACTTGATGTTTATGAATTCGTCCTACTTTTTCTCTCTGATTTTGGGCATTAATGTGATGATGCGTTAAGAAGGAAGAAGAAAGCTGGAGTTGAACAAATGAAAAAGAAGAAGAAAAGAATTCCATGGATGAGTTGTTTATATAGTAATTAGAATAGAGAGATGGGTTGTTTTTCTAATTGTATTGAAGGTTTTCTAAACTTTCCTTTTTCCTGTGAACCGGATGACCAGGTAGATAATCGGCCAGTCGTTCAGTGGGTCCAAGCCCAACGTCTACGCACAGTAAATTGATGAACGCTTTCCAGATCCTCAGTTTGGTGAAACATCTGATGTTTTCTCAATTTGATACCATTTTGGTGAACTCATTGGAGCACCAAAAGTATCTCTTTTTCACCAAATTTGAATTTGGTAATACATCTGGTTAAACTGCTGAACCATTGGAGATGGTCTTACCAATTTGATCATTAACAAACTATATTTCATCATGATCTTGTGGGAACAAAGGCACATTTTCCTTCTTGTTTTTGCTCATAAAGAAAGTTTTAATGGCTGAAATCCTTAAAATAAAAAAGTTATAAGTAGTTTCAAAAATTGTACCAGTAGGGGTGTAAATTTGGCCTGACCTGATCCACCTGGGTCGGGTTTGGGCCGGCCCATGTTGGGCCGCCTAAGCTCTTTCCAAAATTTAGGCTGGGCCAGAAAATTAGGCCCATGCCCAAGCTTAGGGGGTATTCGGCCCTTGGGCCTCGAGTCGGGCCGTACCTAGATGGGCCTGAACATTTTACTTTTTTTATTTATTTTTTTCATCAAAAATTTATTCTTTTTCATTAAAAATGGCATTGGGTCTCGATCAGGCCTCGGGTCGGGATTTAAGTGAGCCTTGAGTAGGCCGATTGGCTGGATCGGGTTTCAAACTGATGACCCAAGCCTAGGCCCAGTGTCTCGGGCTAGGCTCGGGCTCGAACCTAATCGGATTGGGTCCATCCAAGGTTGTAGGCACGTTTCTAACTGCCCACGGGCCGCACGCCAAATTTACACCCCTATGTACCAGGGTCTGTATTAACTTTATTCATATTGCTAGGACTAGATCTTATAGCAAACAAAATGTTATAATTTGACAATTTCTATTTTAATAATGTAAATGTTATTTTGAGTTATGAATTATTATTGTCCTTTTTTTTTTTTTTTGGTTATGACTAAAAGTAATTAAGTTATTATATTTTGTGATATCAATACTACAAAATATCATAATTTGTATAAGGTACATTTTTTTGAGCATTGTAACAAAATAAACTATTTCTATTGAGTTTAATTACAAAAATATATTTTTTTAAGATAATTTTACTTAACAAAAATAGGCAAATGGTTTATATTGAAAATAAATCAAATGTTTAAGGTTTAATTAATAAAATTATAAATTAAAAATTTATTGTAGAGAAATACTATGGTACACACCTTCTCTATAGGCAAGTTATGCCATTTGTGAATGTGATTATCACAAATGGCATAACTCAATATTATGTGAGTCACAACTAAAAAATAAATAAAATTGAGTTATAACTAAACATCACATAAAATATAATTAACTCTTGGATTATAACTAAAATTTTGTCATAACAATATCATAATATGTCATAACTAACAATACAATAAGTCATAACTATTACTTTAAAGATTATAACTAAAGGTACAAATGATATACACACTAAAAAAGAGTGTGTACTATACAATTTCCATTTATTTTATTATAAAACTCATTTTCTGAGATTTTTTTCACTCCCTAAACATTAATGTCGTACCCAGACGAGACACAGAAAATGCAAAGTTCTTAACAAAGCCAGAAAAAACAATTAAATAAACATCAATCTTTTCTTTTTCCATTTAGGCAGAGATATAAAAACATTAATTACTTACGACAGGAAACATTACCACAGGAATTGAAACATTAATCGAGATAAAGATTGCTATACATATTTGAGGAAGGTTAAGATTGCTAAATTGGGAGATTTGGCCATAAGCCCTCAGACCTTTCACTTTTCGTTAAAAGGACAAAAAAAAAATTAATATTTACAAAACTCCCTTATAGTTCCCTTTTTTTGTTAAAAGGATAAAATTTTACTCTGAATCAGAATAAATTTACGATTTTGCCCGTGAATGAATAAAAAAGAAGAACAAACATAACACAGGGACTTATAGGAGAATGAATGAACGAGAGAGGGAAATAGAGAGAGAGAGAGAGAGAGAGAGAGAGAACAAACTATCGGTTTTCAAATCTGAGATCGTCAATCTCATATGAGATAGTAGGGACAAATAGTGATTATGAGAGTGATAAGAATGATGTTTTAAAATATTAGAGACTTTTGAAAGTATTCATATAACTCTTGTCATTTTGACAAGATAAGTGCCTCTTGAGAGATTTATGGCGAAATTTTCCAATTAAACATTTGACTTATTATATCAATATAGTGATAAGAGTTGATAATTAAATTTAAACAAAATTTTAATTATCACAGTATCTTTTTTTTTTTTGTCAATCAATAAGAAAATAATTATAAATATCAAATCACAAATAACAAATTCAACGGTCATTAAAAGAAAAAACCCAAATTAAAAAAATAAATAGATAATTAAATAAGGAAAATATAAATAATCAATCTTTGCTTATGACAACGATTCTCAATTAAGTTGCAATTAAGATGGTATAGATGGGATGGGTTTCCCCTCTATATCTCTCTACACTCCTCTTATAGGCCTCAACTTGGACCCACACCGATGATTCAAACTGTCTACTTCATATGTTTTGTAGTAAAGATTATTCATGCAAAAGAATCAACTTCATCGGACAACTATAAACACATGAACAAATCACATTTTGTTTTATAAAATGGATTATTTAAGTTTATTTGTCGTTCATTTTATAAAAAAAATGTAATTTATTCATACATTTATTTATTTTCAATGCATTTTTTGTGTGTGTGCATAGATTACCTTTATTGCAAGATCTAAGAGATAGATGGCTTGAATCATCACTACGAATTTGGATTGAGACCCACAAGAGGAATATAGAAAGATAAAAGTATGAAGAGGAGTTTATCCTGTGTAAATGACCAATTGAGCTAAACTAAGCTAGCTCAGTTGATTAATTATCACAATATTGCTCTTTCTATATACTAGTAGTCACTCGTGCGATGAACGGAATTTTAAAAAGTCAATAATTATTTTTAAAAAAATTGTTATTTGATTGTATTTCTTAATATTTTTATTTAGTTTGTATTTATAAATCTTACTTTACATCATTAAAAATATTTAATATTTCACATTATTAAATTTTTTTTTATATAAAAACTATCATACATTAAGTAAATCATCACAT